TCGTCCTGAAGACGAAATTCGGCCCGAAGACGAAAATCCTCAGCATTGAAAAATGTGGCAGACGATTCTAGGCTCCGGAATACCTTTCTGAAGACGAATTTGGGCCCTGAAGACGAATTTCGGCCCCGAAGACGAAATTCGGCCGCGAAGACGAATTTCGGCCCTGAAGACGAAATTCGGCAGCGAAGACGAAATTCGGCCCGTCCGTCCGGGTCCGTCCGCCGTCCGTCCGCCGTCCGTCCGTCCGTCTCTGTCCACCGCCGTCGCCGTGCGTCCGCCCTCCGTCCGCCGTCCGTCTCCGTCCATCCGCCGCGGTTCGCTGTCTCCCGGCCGTCCGTCCGGGTCTGTCCGCCGTCCGTCCGCCGTCCGTCGACCCTCCGCGTCCGTCTCACCGTCCGTCCATCATCCGTCCGCCGTCCGTCCGCCGTCTGTCCGCAGTCGCCATGCGTGCGTCTCCGTCCGTCCGCCGCCGTTCGCCGTCCGTCGGCCGTCCGTCCGTCCGCCGTCCGTCCGCCGTCCGTTGCCGTCCGCATCCGTCCCGCCGTCCGTCCGCTGTCCGTCCCGCCGCGCCGTCCGTCCGCCGTCCGTCGGGCGTCCGTCCCTCGTCCGCCCTCCGTCTCCGTCCGTCCGCCGTCGTTCGCCGTCTGTTGGTCCGGGTCCGTCCACCGTCCGTCCGCAGTCTCGGTAGTCCGCGTCCGTCCCGCTGTCCGTCCGCCGTCCGTCCGCTGTCCGTCCGCCGTCCGTCCGCCGTCCGTCCCGCCGTCCGTCCGCCGTCCGTCGTCCGTCCGCCGTCTGCCGTCCGCCATCCGCCGTCCGTCTGCCGTCCGTCCGCCGTCCGTCCGCCGTCGGTCCGCCGTCCGTCCGCCGTCCGTCCGTCCGCCGTCGTCCGTCCGCCGCCCGCCTTCAGATGTTAACACACCGTTTTGGATGTTCGATAGCCGGACGTTTGAAAATGGCGGGCGGACATCGAAAACCTACATTGCAGGTTTTAGATGTTATGACTCTGTTTTCGATGTCGGCCGGTATAATATCCCGCGAATTCGAGCGCCGAATTTAAATTCGGCGTCAAGAGCATTTCAGGCGTCACGCACTGGTGAACCGAATT